CTTTCCCTCTCTATGTCCCACTGACACGCGCACTCACACATGATCGTGACTTTCAACACCCCATTCGCTACTTTTCCCGTTACCGTCTCTCTCTCTCTTTTCCTTTCTCTCGTTCACTTGCACGTTTATTTTAGCCCAGCGGGAAAAGCCTAGAAGCAAAGAGCGAAAGAGAGAGAGAGAGAGAGAGAGAGAGAAAGAGAGGCAAAAGACTCGGTAAAGGCCGCTTTGTCGCCGGTTTCCTTTCTATGTTATTAAATTGTATATTGTTGAACCCCTTTCCAGAATATCGTACTGTATTCCGGCGCCGCAGTTGCCACTTAGAAGCTACCTTACAGCTGTAGCAGCCTATATGTTATTTGTCAGTAGGTACCTTTACTCCCGCGAGAAATCTGATTGACCAAAATCTAGTTATGTGATCTCTCTTTTTTTGTTGATTTTTCTGTGACTTTTAAACAAAAGCAATGCTAACGTATCGACGTGTAAAATAAAATCTTTGGACTGTAGTTTTTTAATAATTATACAATTATAATTTTTCTTCTGTTGTGCAAGATTGTGCAAGAAAATATAGCATTTTTATTCGTTCATTGTATACTCAATAATATGACACGAGAAAATATTTTTTCGTTGCAAATTTAATATGTACGAATACGTTTATTATATTACGGAAGATTATTTTGTTGTGCCGTATAATGTAAAAACATCTTGGACAGATTATTTTTGATAAAATGAAAAACAGATAGAGTGTGTACTTACAGTCGACCGAAACTTTGATCTGCTTGCTGACTGTGGGTGGTATGCCGTTGCTAGCAATGCATAAATATGCACCCATATCCAGTCTCGAAATCCTCGCCATTTCCAGCGTTTCACCTTCCCATTCCGGCACTGAAAACCACGATCATACCGTTCGTTATATAAATGCAAATCGATCGATTGCGGTTAATTATTTCGCACATTGACATATATTTTTAATTATTCTATTACGTTCGAAAATTATAATATACTGCTTTACGCTTGTCGAAGCATGAAGTTTCGTTGTACGAAATTAATATTAATATTACCGGATAAAGTTTTGTTGATCGATATCTTGGAACTGTCGTCTCGTTTCCAACGAATACTAGGCGTCGGACTTCCGGTCGCTTTGCAGGTGAGAGTCACATTGGCGCCCTCGCGAACGATCGCGTCCGACGAACTTTGCGAATCGTCGATGTTCGGTGGCACTATAACGATGAAAACATTGAGTTTTAATCGATTGTAAAAAGTATACAAAATTTATTTATTTATTTTTTTTGTAATTAACTAGATTTATACGTGGACATCGCTAAAAATGAATATTTTCTATGCATATTCTATCAATCATGAATATTGTATCCAAATATGTATATATATTATTCGTATCTTTAATTATTTAGAATTAATGTAGCTAATAATTAATATAATATATATCGCAACGTGAATATATACAAGTCATTAATATATATAGATAAATATTAACACGCATGCGTAGGAAAACGCAATTCAGTTCACAATCGGAAACAATTTTCATTGATAAATTTAAAAGAAGCGAGTACCACGTATATACGGGGATAGCAGGTAGAAATGGCGCACAGATAAGAAGCGAGTTGGAAGGAAACGCCCGTGAAAAACTCGTAATCACTAATGATAAGAAGCGCCTTCTCCGTTGTAAGAGAAATGTTCCGAAGAACTGGCGGCGACTGGAAAAGTCTTGTCACGTTTTACCCCAGATATGGAAAGAAAGGAGTGGACTACGTTTCCGCCGCGGTTCTTTCAAGCCCTCCGCTATTTTGCATGCCCTTGACGGATTCTTCCATCTTTCCCTTCCTCTCCTTCGGCAATTACAAAACGGGCTTAACATCGAAATGAAACGGAATCCTAATCTTAACGTAATAACCGATCAAAAATCAAGCCGATGAACGATTTTCCTGCGAGGAGAGACCATTCAATCAGATTCGAATCAATTTGCCACAAGAAGATTGCGACAAGGTTTGTAGATACGAAAGACGCAATTTTATGTTTTAATAAATATTTCATAAAAGATTATTCTATTAAATTATTATTCACAGAGAATGATTCTGCTTTCTTTGTGTTGAGAATGAGAAAGAAAACATTATTATCGGGCAATTCCTTTCATTTCATTTAATCTTTAGTACGTTTTTTATTGCCAAATAGAGAGCCAATTAAGTAAAGCGGCATGATAATACTATTCAGTTAGAGTGCACAGTATAGTATACGTGGTACATGTAACGTTTATTCATAATTTATAAATGGCGCGCAGTTGCGTCAAAGAGTTTAAAGTGACATTACTCGCTAAAAATTAAGCGGCAAGTATTAAGCAAAAACGGCACTTTTACAGTTTCTACCGCACACGTGTTCGTTATCGCCGGCACGATACGCATATTGCATATTGCAAAGAGAGAGAAAGAAAAGAAAGAGAGAGAGAGAGAGAGAGATTATACATATATATAGAAGCAATATATTTGTTATATAAATTTCCCAGAATCATTCTTATATACGTATAATATAAATGAGTGATTAAAACCTCACATTTTAAGCGTGCATAAAAAAAAAATAAATTATATAAATCACGGCTGTAATTTATAGTGATCAACGCGTCATCGACAACTCTATTTAATTGCGCTATGACAGCGATATCTCGCATCTACATATATTGACCACGTCATCGCTGCTCTTGAATTAAACCGTGCGTGCGCGCGCACAAGAGAGAGGCGTATAATTCAATTATATCGTCGTCGTGGTAACGAATAATATTAGTATACGGACATACGTCGTCTGCAACGTCGACGTTGATCAACCTGGAAATGCAAGTCGCTGAATTGGCTGACGTGCTTAAATGATATCGTACTGGTTATACGCGAATATGACACATCAGCCAAAATTACTCTTCTTCTTCATATATTAATTAATTAATCGGCACTTGCGGCACAATCGACACATTAGAAGAATGATAATATTGATCGTAGAATTGATTATACACAATAATTAATTTAACGTGACACACATTATCAAGTTATTAATCATAGTGTTAATCAAAGTCAACTTTATCCCTTTCGAATGAAAAATAGAATAAATTTTTTTGCGTATAGAAAGGAAGAAATATCAATGTAGAGAATTAGAATCATTGAAATTATCAAATCGCAGAGAAGAAGCAGGAAAAAAGAAGCTCTTTCAATTTGAAACTTAAATTGTATCGACTATAAAGCGGAATATGTGAAAAAAATTAATCTCGGTTGCCATGAGTAAAGCACAATAAATTAATAATTTTAATAATAATGTTCTGAAATATTGAAATAGTGAAATTGCGAGAGCAAAGATAGCCATTTTACATATTCACGAATAAGTCCGACCGCGTATCTAATTTCTCTACACTTTTCTACTCACGTCTCATAATACCTACGTTATGTTCAACGTACGAGAAAACTTTCAATTTATTTCTATCTTTAGATATTAGATCGGATTTCTTAAATAATAATTCAAGAGTCATTTTAATTAATTTTTGCATATATTTAAGATGAATAGTAAACGAAATAAAATAAGTCTCAAAAGAGAAAATTAAAAATTATTACGATGGGGAATTTCTGAATATATGCAACGAAGAGAAATATTTTGTATATATTAGATTTTTTATAGAAAGTAAAGCAGGAAGTTAATTAAATTACCGATAATGGAAATTAACTTAAAATTAGATTATTATGATTTGCACATACACACAACATATTTATAATTATATAATAGATATAACGATATACATATATTATGCCTTTTATTCTTGTATTTTATTATTATTGTATTTTTATTTTGTAATTATTTTATTATTTTATTGTATCTCCATTATTCCTTGCACGTATCTCTCTATACGATTATTACAAACGTAAAATTATCTTGTCTGATATTCTGCATTGTTATAATGGTCGGATGAATAAAACGGAATATTACACGATGTGATTTTTAAACGATAAAATCTTTCTTTTTCACTTCCCCTCTCTCTCTCTCTCACGCACAAAATTCATTGTGATATCATTATCGGCGGTATAATTTTCTAATTCTGTTATTAGGAGATTATTTGTGAGGGACGGTTCAGAAATTACTCCCCGCCTGATAATCTCTTACAATCAAATTCAACGAGAAGAAAAATCTCTTTCCCCAGTCTTTTTGTTCGGCAACAGCCGCGTGGTCACCGGATACAAGGGAACGCGGCCAATCCTATGAATTACCGCAGGTGTCCGCCGATATCTCGCATTAATGCTAATGCGGGGTGTTGCCGAATTGTTGAACAAGGGCAGATTGAATGCGCGCGCGCGCGCGCGCGTGCGAAGGGAAAGGGGATCGGTCTCACCCCCTCGCCGGTCTCTGCACAGCAGAGTTACACTGTAGTCGCGTAACGGTCTGTTGATGCATTATTCAAGCGCAAACGCCGCGCGTGTTACCGCGTCGTTGTTGTGCGTTAACTTGTCCTAAAGTCTCCGGCAGCGCAACGTTCGAGAGACGTTCGGAGGAGAGATCGCTCGCAACGACGATGCTAGTCGGCGGAGGGTAACCTGAGGGTAAACATACGCGCGCAAACGCCACGCCGATAACTACCCCATATTTTCCCTTCAATGTGTACAAAAATATACATTACGCGTGTGTATCGCGCGTCTAAATATCCAAATATTGACGATTCTAAACGGGATTGCCACTTTATCGTCGTATCGAGGCCCCTGAATCTCTTTCAGGTTTTTCCGAGACGAAAGAAAAATATTCAATCTTCTCGTTCCGAAAAATGACGAATCTGGCTGTTTTAATAATGTCACGCTCTAGAATGAAATTAATGATAGTAATATCAACACACGCACAATTTTAAATACGTGTAGATTTTAAAATCCATAGAATTGGAAAACAATTTTTTTCGCGGTAGAGGAAGATACAATTCTAATAAATAGGAGAGAGAGAGATAGAGAGAGAGAGAGAGAGAGAGAGAGAGAGAGAGATGTGTGTAATAATACTAAACGTTGCTTTGTTTCGACAGCGTATTACAATTAACATCCAAAAGAGGGAACTGTACCGCTGTACCGATCGAGTTCCGTCGTGAATGAAGTCATTGTAAACTGTAGATTGCTAATTATGTTATGCCCTTAGAGCATCTAACATCAAACTCATCTCATAATACATAATACGATACGCTTCTTGATTGATATAACCCGTATAACTTGTGCGCTTGGTAGTAATACAGAAATTCGATTTAAGGATGTATAAGATTTAAATGTAAAATTCCCACACATACACATATGTCATATACACACACGTTTGAGTGTCAACAAATGTTTTTTTTTATATGAATTAATTTTTCTAATCGTTTTCATACAAATCATTTTAATTGAGTAATATGCAAAAATGTGAAAAAACATTTCAAATAAGACTTAATTTTTTAAAAGAAATATTTAAAAAATAAAAGGAACACATTTTTATATAATCTTATATTTAAGGAAATGAAAGAAATTGTCCTGAAAATAAAATATCCAATAATAAGTTGTTTGTCTCATAAGTGACTCTTAAGATATGAAAGATATAATTCTCTCATTACTATCTATAGCAGTTTCCGAGAAAACAGTCTGTAAAACAATTTGGCTCATCCTGAGGATATAACGTGGAGTGAATGCAAGAGAAATTTTCAGCGCCATCAAAAGGCGCGGTGGTACATTATATTGTCTGCTTCTCAGTTTCGCGGCTTCTTTACCGGTTTTAAGCCGGCCAACTCGTCTTTAAATCGAATAAAAGTCAGATGGTCCCGGGCTTCTGCTTTATTTACGGAGATGCAGTGGTCGACCGCAAGCGCGGCAGAAAGATCAAGAAGAAGATTCCGTAACTAAATAGAGAGACAAGAACAAGGGATATATGATATCCGATACGTTCACCTGGTCACGAAGTTAGCGATCCGAATGTTTGCATCGTGGCTAAGAATATCGATTTTTCAACGATACCAAATATATTCTCGCGATATTTTAGCGAGAGACAAAATCAAACGAGATGCAATCTTTCTTTTCAAAATCTCTCCTTTAAATTCTTATTTATTCATTGGATTTATAATGAATCAGATTTAATAAAAATTAAGTTGGAAAAGAAATTTGCATACATACACGTACAAGGATATTTTAAATATTAACTCTCACGCATCCCTTTTCTTTTCGATAAAAAATTGTTCGATCGATGAACTATTCCGCAAAATGTACCACACGGTTATCTCGCACGGCAAATGCGGAGACAGATACCTAAAATACATCGGCGAGGCTCGTTATATGCGCGATGTAGTCATGGCAGATCGCCATTGTGTCGGGGCACTATCGACATTATCACGAGAGTGTCGCGAGAGTGCCGCGCCGGGAAATCTTGCGTGTGTTTGCGCAACGGAGGGCAAGAGTCCCGCGGAAACAATTAATCTAGCCCGCTGATTACTCTCCACCGACGCATCCGTCCCCAAGTATCGTCGCTCTCGCTTTAACGGCCTGGCTGCAGCCGAGATGTCAAAACTCGAGATATTAATATGTTCTCCCCGACTGGCAGAGAGATGGCTGGCGACCGCCTCGGGGTCTCATTGATATACTCTCTTTCGATTAAATTATTATGGTTCCATTGCTGCTCCTATATGTAAGATTAGCAGAACGCTGTGTTCTCTCGCTCTCTCTCTAAACATAAATCTGTTTAGATGGCTGCGATAAAATGCTTACGCTCTGTTTCGCGCAAAACTTCGCGATGGTAAGCTGACTCCATTACGCGAAATGAGATTTATTCGAAGGATCTAATGGGTTCACAGTGCGATACAATAAGACCGTAAATAACAATCGATCGGGGAATGTTCTCTGCTAATGGTGCAACAGAATTAACGTACAACGTATGAGATAGTTCTTTTTCTTTTCGGTAACAATAAAACATGACAGGATAGTGATATCGAAAGAAATATGAGTCTTCGCACATTTGTTTATGAAAATAACTATTTCTCATAAAAAGGAGCATCTCTCTTTCTCTGTTTCTCTCTACTTTTTAATAAAATGCAGTTATAATTTACTGATTTTTTAAAGCTTGAAATTAATAAAAGAATGAGTAATTATTAGAAAATGAATGTCTTTCCGATTAAATTACTACCATTTTAATATTTTTGAAGACGAGAGGAATCGCTTCTTTTACTGTAATAAAATTATTATTAATCCGCGAAGCATTTTTCTGATCCCGTATGTGTAAAATATTAAAGTTCTAAAAGAAAACCTGTCAACATGCTTAATAGCTTTATTCCAAGAATTGCAATAACATAATACTGTAGAAATATATTAAATAAAATTAAGAAATATTTTAATGATACGTCAATATATTTTATAAGTTTACGCGTTCTCACCTACAACGTGTAGATAGCCATATTGCGTTTTGGCGGCGGCGGTGTTAATCTGGCACATGTACTTTCCCTTGTCCTCCTCGTGCACGTCGTTGATATGTAGGAACCAGGTCCTGTGCTTATCGTGCGACACGGATATTCTGGGGTTCCTGGTAATAACGTAATAAGAGAGAGAGAGATAGAGAGAGAGAGAGAGAGAGATGTGTGTAATAATACTAAACGTTGCTTTGTTTCGACAGCGTATTACAATTAACATCCAAAAGAGGGAACTGTACCGGGATAATTATCGAGTTCCGTCGTGAATGAAGTCATTGTAAACTGTAGATTGCTAATTATGTTATGCCCTTAGAGCATCTAACATCAAACTCATCTCATAATACATAATACGATACGCTTCTTGATTGATATAACCCGTATAACTTGTGCGCTTGGTAGTAATACAGAAATTCGATTTAAGGATGTATAAGATTTAAATGTAAAATTCCCACACATACACATATGTCATATACACACACGTTTGAGTGTCACCAAATGTTTTTTTTTTATATGAATTAATTTTTCTAATCGTTTTCATACAAATCATTTTAATTGAGTAATATGCAAAAATGTGAAAAAACATTTCAAATAAGACTTAATTTTTTAAAAGAAATATTTAAAAAATAAAAGGAACACATTTTTATATAATCTTATATTTAAGGAAATGAAAGAAATTGTCCTGAAAATAAAATATCCAATAATAAGTTGTTTGTCTCATAAGTGACTCTTAAGATATGAAAGATATAATTCTCTCATTACTATCTATAGCAGTTTCCGAGAAAACAGTCTGTAAAACAATTTGGCTCATCCTGAGGATATAACGTGGAGTGAATGCAAGAGAAATTTTCAGCGCCATCAAAAAGCGCGGTGGTACATTATATTGTCTGCTTCTCAGTTTCGCGGCTTCTTTACCGGTTTTAAGCCGGCCAACTCGTCTTTAAATCGAATAAAAGTCAGATGGTCCCGGGCTTCTGCTTTATTTACGGAGATGCAGTGGTCGACCGCAAGCGCGGCAGAAAGATCAAGAAGAAGATTCCGTAACTAAATAGAGAGACAAGAACAAGGGATATATGATATCCGATACGTTCACCTGGTCACGAAGTTAGCGATCCGAATGTTTGCATCGTGGCTAAGAATATCGATTTTTCAACGATACCAAATATATTCTCGCGATATTTTAGCGAGAGACAAAATCAAACGAGATGCAATCTTTCTTTTCAAAATCTCTCCTTTAAATTCTTATTTATTCATTGGATTTATAATGAATCAGATTTAATAAAAATTAAGTTGGAAAAGAAATTTGCATACATACACGTACAAGGATATTTTAAATATTAACTCTCACGCATCCCTTTTCTTTTCGATAAAAAATTGTTCGATCGATGAACTATTCCGCAAAATGTACCACACGGTTATCTCGCACGGCAAATGCGGAGACAGATACCTAAAATACATCGGCGAGGCTCGTTATATGCGCGATGTAGTCATGGCAGATCGCCATTGTGTCGGGGCACTATCGACATTATCACGAGAGTGTCGCGAGAGTGCCGCGCCGGGAAATCTTGCGTGTGTTTGCGCAACGGAGGGCAAGAGTCCCGCGGAAACAATTAATCTAGCCCGCTGATTACTCTCCACCGACGCATCCGTCCCCAAGTATCGTCGCTCTCGCTTTAACGGCCTGGCTGCAGCCGAGATGTCAAAACTCGAGATATTAATATGTTCTCCCCGACTGGCAGAGAGATGGCTGGCGACCGCCTCGGGGTCTCATTGATATACTCTCTTTCGATTAAATTATTATGGTTCCATTGCTGCTCCTATATGTAAGATTAGCAGAACGCTGTGTTCTCTCGCTCTCTCTCTAAACATAAATCTGTTTAGATGGCTGCGATAAAATGCTTACGCTCTGTTTCGCGCAAAACTTCGCGATGGTAAGCTGACTCCATTACGCGAAATGAGATTTATTCGAAGGATCTAATGGGTTCACAGTGCGATACAATAAGACCGTAAATAACAATCGATCGGGGAATGTTCTCTGCTAATGGTGCAACAGAATTAACGTACAACGTATGAGATAGTTCTTTTTCTTTTCGGTAACAATAAAACATGACAGGATAGTGATATCGAAAGAAATATGAGTCTTCGCACATTTGTTTATGAAAATAACTATTTCTCATAAAAAGGAGCATCTCTCTTTCTCTGTTTCTCTCTACTTTTTAATAAAATGCAGTTATAATTTACTGATTTTTTAAAGCTTGAAATTAATAAAAGAATGAGTAATTATTAGAAAATGAATGTCTTTCCGATTAAATTACTACCATTTTAATATTTTTGAAGACGAGAGGAATCGCTTCTTTTACTGTAATAAAATTATTATTAATCCGCGAAGCATTTTTCTGATCCCGTATGTGTAAAATATTAAAGTTCTAAAAGAAAACCTGTCAACATGCTTAATAGCTTTATTCCAAGAATTGCAATAACATAATACTGTAGAAATATATTAAATAAAATTAAGCAATATTTTAATGATACGTCAATATATTTTATAAGTTTACGCGTTCTCACCTACAACGTGTAGATAGCCATATTGCGTTTTGGCGGCGGCGGTGTTAATCTGGCACATGTACTTTCCCTTGTCCTCCTCGTGCACGTCGTTGATATGTAGGAACCAGGTCCTGTGCTTATCGTGCGACACGGATATTCTGGGGTTCCTGGTAATAACGTGATTCTGTACCGTCAGGATAGCGCTCTTGTCGAAAAGCATCCAGGCCACCTGAAACGGGACGGATATTATATTATATCGTAAATAGTTCACAGAGTCGCGTATATAATAGGAAATTGCCATACTTTGCAACATGGTATTCTCCGCGATATTTTTCAGGTTAAAAATTATGCATGTATTCGTGAAAATATTGCCTGATTTCTGTCTTATCTTCTGATTAATACAAGAGTCCCGTGTTTGTATATTTTATACGTATTTTCGAATAAAAATTCCCCGAAAACTTTGGCAATCTCGACCAAATGGATGCATATTTTCTTAGTTGTGCCGTAAACTCTAGATATCGTAGAAAATGAAGAATAAAGATGTACAGTGACGATACAAAGAAAGGAACGCGGAACAAGGAGAAATGAGATTCACGAAAGAGACGGATGATCAATGATACTTTCAAGCACCGAGCGATCTACAAACCTACTATAGTTATAGATATTCACCAAGCGGGATAAATCGCTCCGGGATTTCGAGGGTATCCTTTACAGAATATCCTCCATGATATAGGTACTAACGCACGATACACACACACACACACACACACACATATATATATATATATGTATATCAATATATATATGCATACGTGTATATTGTGATGTACGTTTGACGTTTTATACGAGCAAAGTTTTCCGCTGACGAATAGAAGCTTAGTCCCCCATCGTTCAAATGACCGCTTATTGAGATTCCGGACGGTTACTTTCTGCATAGCAACGTTGAATGACGCCGATTGTTATTACCATTGAAATATGTAGCCGTCTCTTCCCGAGGAAGGAAACAAAATAAGAGACGAGAGGCAGAGATAAGTAGAAAGTATCGCGACAACGGGATGCGGAAGTGCTCCGGAGATATTTAGCCGATTTTCCCATTCACGTCGAAGAAAGTGAAGGCCGACGAGCGGTAACAAAGGGAAACGAGAGAGACGAGGAAAGAATAAAGAGGAATTCTGATCTCTCTCGTTCGCGCGCTCGCTCGCGAAAAGTCTCTGGAGAAATAAGAAGGGCAGCGAGAGTTCTTTCGCTCGGGCACGAGGAACCGTTGCACTTACTTCAACACAGCCCGTCCCCTTTTCACAATGTGCAAATGCACCGCGTTGTACAGACAGGCTATATTGCGCCATCGTGATAACTCTCTGCGCGATGTTAACCCGCGATGTTGGCGAGAAGCTTGCGCGATTAAAATAAAACAGAACGACGCTCGGAAAAGCAACATCACCGTGCTTTATTCTAAATATACGATTATAATTATAATTAGTAATATACACAATTATGTAATTATTATAGTATATTTATACTAATTTATCATAAAAATACAAATATATATAATTTAGCTTCCAGACTAAAGCCGTGAATATATATTTAAACGGAGCGACTTTTAACGGGATCGGGATTAATGCGATAGAAGAGAATGAGATTTTTCTATGATCGTAAGTTTCGCAATGAAAACGTAACTGTTCGCTTCGGAGAACCAACGAGATCGTTTCGTAATCGTTTCTCGTGTCTTTCGAGCGTAAGCGAATTTTCGTTCACCATTTATCCAATCGCTTTTGCCGTGGCGGATATCGGCGGTTATCTTCGCAGAGATCTATACGAATCTCGACGAGAATTCTTCGGCGTTCATGAAATTGTACGAATCCCGAGAAACGCGGTTGACACTTTCGTCATTTGCTTTTCTGGCACGTTAAGCTGCGGTTAATTACTTTTCTTTCTATAAAAATTAAGTCCGTAATTTCAACTACGTGTTAAGTGGAAAAGATCTTCAAATTTATTATAATTTTAAGTTATATTATATACAGTTTGATTGCTTCCTCTCTCATGAAAAAGACGTTCGAGTTTTTAATTATTTTCTCTATCATGATTGCATCTATTTCCATAAAAGTGACAATTCTTTAAAGAATACAACATTTCCTTTGCATGCAAATTATGTACGTGTTAAGGTAATCATCAATCATAAAATAATTTGGGCAAAATTTCACTTTGAAAAAATACATTTACTTTATCGGTGTTGGAAAAATTTTTCGAGAACAGAAGGGAAAATGTTAAACATATCTGATGTAATACTTCTCGTGCGTTTGGAGGAGCTTCTTCAACTTTATAACGACAACTTCTTTCGAAAATTCTTGGGGAAGATCCAAATATCAAAAGATATGAGTAAGGTTGAGAAGTACCCATGCTTCTACTGGAATAATAAGCGTCCTTAACTCGATTCTTTTAATCTTTCATACTGGCTTGTGGACCGAAGAGAATATTACTATACTATTTTCTTCAATTGCCACTTATAATAGCATTAACTTGAATTCTCTTTTTCTCGTGGTTTTTATCGTACTCAATAATCGCAAGGACGAGAAAAATATTGCAGTGTGTCATAATTCTAAAAGGTAAAAAACATATATTTCAGTGATAAAAATATTATTTTATTAACATCAAAAAACGCAACGTCTAATCAATTAAAAATGAACTTTTCTGCTTTATATCGAGTTGTCTCTTACCCCTTACTCCCTGACTTGTCACTTACGTCACCTCGATAATGTAATATCGGCATACCGTTAAGTTTCGGGTTCAGCACGTGCGGGAGACATGTAAAGAGCTACACGGAAAGCAAGTTCGAGTGACCATCTTTCCGACTCGCTTCCCAATGCATCAGCATGCAAGCCACACCAAAACTAAGATGGATGCGCGAGAGTAAAAGAGAAAGAGAGACAAAGAGAGAGAGAGAGAGAAAGAGAGAGAGGGTGGGTTTGCTCTCTAGGAGTTTGTTCCCCCAAGAGCGCGGCACGAAGCATTGATTCCTCAATGCGAGAGGAGAGTTACAGCTTTGTTTACTACGAGGGCGACGAGCTCAGCGCCGTCCAGTCTGGCTTGGCGCTGGCTACGCTACTATCGGTGTCTTCTTTTCTTCCACGTCGTCTCTCTCTCTCTCATCCCGTACCCGCTACTCTTTCCCAACCCGGCGAGAACGTCTGGACTGGGAGACCTATAGTTAACGTCAAGATCAACTCTCCTCCAACGTCCTTTCCAACGTTCTTCTTCCACGCGAGTACTCTACGGTACTCCCCGCGTACGCAAACACATTCACCAGACCTAGGCGGTTTATATAGAACCGTGGAAAGCGAAAGAGCGGCGAACTGAGCCAACCCTCCCATCTCCCGTCCGGTCATTGTATATGTGGAAAGTTGGACCACATTCCGGTTGAATGTATTACAACCACTTAACCCGCAAGCTGTCGAAACCTTCAGACCGGAGAATCCATGCGGCGTTCCATGTACCTACCAGGACTGATAGTTTGTTTAATAGGCGCATTAAGTGTTGATGATGATTCTAGCTTAAAAAAGTACACGATGGAAAACTTTTTTCTTCATATGGAAATATTGTATCCATAATAATTTGCACGCGTGTAATTTTGTTTTGCTTTTATTTATAAAATTTTACGGAGTTAACTTCCTCTTCCGAGAAAAGAGGATTAACTTTTCCATTGAAAGAGAGAGAAAGACTTTATGTGTTTTTATTATTGTTATTAATTTTATTGAGCTAGATAGATGCATTTTGAATTCTCGCTTTTACAGCAGTTTTCGTTTTTGTATATACAATAAACAGTCATCGCCAGGTATCAGATTTTATAAAAATTTAGAAGGTGTAAAAAAATACGATAGAAAAAAAAAAATTACAGTTAACACTTCTTGTTAACAAAACTTGTTAACAGTCTGTATAAAGTTGGATTGGATTAGCACTCGAACTGTCGGAAATTCGAACCGTGTCCTCCGGCAACTTGATTTAACAAATTGAATGCAATAAATCGCGTCCCGGCACACAATCGTTTTTTTGTCGGATGGTTACGTTTTTCTAGTTTTATTTATACAATAACAGTGTGTGTGAAACAACAAATCTTTTCGTTTACGTAAATTTGAGGATTCCCTGTTTAAATCAGTGAATGGAAATGTAACAATGAGGCTTGGTATGCCGCCTTGCGAAGCTTCTTCATCAACAGACCCTTCTCTCACCACACCCTTATACCGCACCGTCTTGTACAAGAACTTAGGGCACCTTATAGATAAATGTATTAGGACCACTTATCCCACAAGCTGTCGGCTGTTCCGTGCTTGTAGGCAAGCTCTTAATTATCATAGAGCTCTAAGCCATTGCGCAGACCGGAAGTACGAAAGCGCCGTCGTGAGTGCTAAAAGCACCTAGGAACTGTCAAAGACTTTAAACAGATGAAATTATCTCGCAACGTGTGCGCGAGTCCACACGTCACCAAGTTTCTCATCGAATAACGACGAAAAAGAAATATAAACGTTAAATAATTAATCGGCATCTTTTTTGTCATAACGACACGATCGTTTGCGTATCATAAAAAACAAGAAGAACGTAGTAAAATGCTAGATAGAGTTGAATAAGAAAAATATAATTTCAATATTAAAAAATGCTTTATCTTGCATTTTTCATGTTAAAAATGGAATTGTTGTACATTCCAGCTCTGTAAAGGAAGGAAAAGAGGGACAAAATGCGGGAAATGCAACTAAAACGAACAAGCTTAATGTTTCGTATAAATTTTGTGAAATTCCGTCTTATATAAAACTGAGGAAAAGATCGATACGTATACAATGTCAGACAAAGTTATATTTCCTGTATACGCAAAGATATAACTCTCTGAAACATTATATGAATGAGATATAAAATATTTCGTCCCGGGGCGTGGAGCGTCACATTTTCATCAAACAACCGAGTGCCATAGCAGGATCGTGACGATGGCGACAAACCGGATGCTGCTTCTTGTCAGCCAAGAAGACATCGCGACATAGCAAGGAGCATCGCGTCGTTTCCGCTCCGCCCTCGCGCCCTCCGCTTGTCAACACGTTCTTCTAGCAGAGTTCGAGCAGCCTCCCTTTCCTCAACCCCTCCCAGGTTCCGCAGTATTCGCCAACGGAACGCAGCAGGGTTGAGAGACGTGATTCAATTTAAAAATCATTCGCTAAGTGCCCGGACTGAAATATCCTTTTTTTTTTT